AACTGTACTAAATATTTTAAATATTATATATGGATTGTGGCTATAAATATATAAGTGATTACTGATTAGTTTACATTCCTAATATCGAAAAAACATGGTTTTTAAAAAAAATCTGATAAATATAAACTGCAGCTAGACACGTCTTTGGAAAGTTTGAACTTCTTTCAACAGTTAAGGACCGGAAAAAGGAAAACGTGGTCAGAACTAATGAAACGGATAATAGATAGGATAAGTTAAATTGATTGCCAAACCTTATAGATGTGGTATAAAAAACTTGCCAGAGCAATCAACAGAATCAATGTTTCAGTAAAATAAATTACAAAAAAAAAAAAATTGTTCGGTGTAAAAAATATTTCCGTGAAAGTTAGAAATATAGTGCAATACATTTTTCTATGCGTCAATATGAGTCTAATGGTTTTTAACGTGCTATTAGAATAGTTCGAATCACATAATCACAATAATTATATTATTAGCGTTTGACGTCATAATAATATCACTGGAGTTTGATTCAGGAAAAATCTGGAAACCACATAACGGCAATGATAATATATTATATTATAAATAGTATCGACAACGAAAGTCTGAGGAAGGTAATAATATGATTATTCTGCAACGAGGTTCTGAAATCAAGATGACATTTAAGTTGACTCTCAGCTGTAATTACTGAGAAAATCTAATTTTGCTGCCGGATTTTCGTGATGGCGTCAGCAAGTAAGCAGGTTACATTATATACTATAATAATACTCAAATAATATAATGATACTCAACACAGTGATAATAAATAGGTACACCGTGGTATAAATTACTTTTAACGGGCCCATCATGTTTTTATAGAACCATTATAAAACGAGTATTATTTCTCTTTCACTGATTATGAAAAATGTACAGTAATGTATTTTAATAATCGGCGAATATAAGCATACGACACATGCAATTATATTATATTAGTTTTAAATCTTAAAAAAATAATCTACACAGTAATCTGATCCAGTCTCAACATCATTCAAAAGGACTGTTCTCTACAAAAAAACCTCAGTCTTTTTTAATTTTATAAAACAATTAAAACTAAATAATTGTTTTGTCAAGTCCCTTGCTAAAACCGCAGAACCTACATACTGTTAAGTTTTGCTTCCCCAGTAAAACCATTAACGATTAAAAACAAAAATTCGAAATAAAAATGTTTACAACACAATGATTTTATTTTGGATATACTCGTAACAATAACCGTATTCATTATATTTTTTATTCAAACGTGATATGTATTTTGAAAAAACCCAGGTACGCGCATTATTTATTTCGGTATCTTACGAAAGAAATAAAAGCTTCTCAATCAGTATTACCTTTCGAGTCATTTTAGTCTAGTAAAAATAACTATATATATATATATATATNTCAAACACTCTATGAAATTAACCAACCACAAGATCTGCTACATCACCACCAAGAAACACATAATTCTCCTTATGGCACCAACCAATCCAAGAGTCAACCATACCAGCAAGAACAACATACTCCATACTGGAGACAATTATAATGTTTTAAATTTCAGCTATTTATTCAATAGTATTTCTTTTTAATTTTGTTTGATTCTTGTTTAACATTTCAAGTAGGTATATTAAACTATTTATCTAAATTAATTAAACTTATTAACACTATTAATAACATTTTCTTATGAAGTATAATCTAAAAGTATATAGGTACCTAGTTATAATAAGGTATAGTAAATGTTGTTAATATAAATTGTTAAAATATTTAATTTTTTGCTCATTAGGTACCTATGGTTAAGTTAATTATATTTATTAGTATAATTAATTATTATTATTATTATCAATTTCAAAGGCAAATATTTTAATAGGTAGGTATGCATTGATAAGTAATATAATTTGTTGTTCTATTTGTGTTGTCAAGTTATCTTTTTTTTTAATATATATTTATAATGTATATTGATTTACTAAAAAAGTTGTTATGATCAATAATAGATTATTAATTAAACTATATTGTGATAAATTAAGTTCCTTCAATAATTTGTTTATATTTCTCACATTGATATTTCTAATTTTATATAATACATTTTTAGGGTACCTACTTAAATGGTATTTTTTTAATGTATACAGAGAATCATATACACAAAGTACAAACAAGAAATTAGTTATTCTTATTTATATTAGTATAAAGATTAAAAATATAAACATAATGTAGGTAGGTACCTCTATTTATCTTAAATATTATTATTTTTTCATTGACTAGATTAAAATAAAATGTATGTACAAGTTAATAAAACTTAGTACTTACCTGAGTGTAATCAACAGTCGCTCTTCAACCGATATGGACAAACGAAAATTTGTGTCTTTTTTTTGTAATTTGGTCCGAACCATGTGTGAAAGTACATTGAAAGATTCTTGCGACATACGGTAAAAATTTTTGAATTTTTCAGGATACATTGCTAGTTCTTTTGTAACCGAAAATGTACCAAGTGTATTAGTATTATTTTTAATGAATGGATGAACCCAATATTTTCGTTTTTTTTTATTTTTATTTATGTTGTTTACTAATAGTAGCATTAACATCTCTTCATCGGAACTTGACATAATTACAAACTTACAAATCAAAGACCCTAATTTATTAGAAAATAATATAAAAATCCTCATATATTTTAATTAAAATCGATTAATGATAACGCCGCACATCCACCGCACATCTTTGGTGTGTTTTGGCGCGCTTTTGCGGCGCGGATGCAGTGCAAGTCCGCGCGCTTCTAGACCGCCGCACTGCAACCGCTCTGCTTTGGTGTGCGCCCTGCCTAAACCGCCGCAGCCGCGCTGGGCGGTCGCGTGCGTCTTGCGACGCGCGACGAGTACCCCCTCAGTAGGCAGTCAAAACGCACGAGCCGCGCGGTTGATGGTAGATACAGTTGAAATTTTTTTTTGAGAAAATTTTTTTTTGTTGTAAAAAATGTTTTCAAAAACTTTATTTACTTTGGAAGAAGATACAATTCTCGCAGAATTTGTTAGTAAACATCCATGTTTGTTTGACTTGAGAAATTCATTGTACAAGGATCAACATGTAAGAGAGAATGTGTGGAAAGAAGTGTCATGTATTTTAAAAACAAAAAGTGGTAAGTATCTTTTATTTATGTACTGATAATTATTTGAAAAAAAAATATAATTTAACACCTAATATTTCTTAATATAATTAATTATATTAGTATTAATTAGTTATTAAATCACTTATTTCTATACCTAATATTGTTATTATTATAAATAAAATTACATTTTTATATAATTATTTTACTATATATCTTATATGTAATTGAATTAATAATAATAGTAATGATAAAATTCAATATATAATAAATAATCATGAATATTGTTAATTATGTTTAGAAATATTATTTAATTATTTCATAAAAATGTTACAAATTATTTATATTATGAATAATTATAAAAAAAAACTTTCAAAATAACAGTTATTAATAATTAAATGTCAGTTCCCTGTGTTCGACTGTCTTGCCATGAAACAGCTCCTTGTTCACTATTGAAAAAATTTTTAAATTCATCCCTTACCAAAAATCCTTCGAAATTTGCGTAACCTCCAGATTTAGCAAGAGACATCATGTTCTTCAAAGGTTGAGGTTCGTTTGGATCATAATTATAATAATAATTAGGCACGTTTTCTAAATATCTATCCCGGAGAAGATTATGGAGGCAACAGGCTGATAAAACTAGTTGATCAGTTGTTTCGGTTTTCAAAGAAATGGGAGTATAAAAACCCCTAAATACTTGGCTTAAAAGACCAAAACTATTTTCTGTAGTTCTCCGAGCTCTTGACAAACGATAGTTGAAAATATTTTTTTTGTTATCATTCCGGGCTTCTCCACGAGTGTATGGTCTCATCATATGTGTCTCCAGACGGAAAGCTTCATCGCCGACATGAACAAATGGTAAGCTTATTTCCGAATTTGGAAGTTTTTTTTCTGGTGGAAAGTATTCTTTTTGTTTAATTAATTGGTTCAAACTTGATTTTCCAAATATGCCACTATCACCTTCTTTTCCGTACGAGCCAATGTCGACATAAATAAATTTACAATTAGCATCCACAATAGCTAATAAGACAATTGAAAAATAGTCTTTATAATTAAAAAACAAAGAACCACTCTTTCCCGGACAAAATATTCTAATATGCTTTCCATCGATTGCACCAACACAATTTGGAAAGTTCCATCTATCCCAATATTCACCTGCAATTCGTATCAAATCTTCTGGCGATGGTGGTTTTAATAATTTACCAGTTAGTCGTGAACTCAAACTTTTTAAAACCAACTGTATGATACGAGTGATATAACTTTGAGATATCCTAAACGCAAATGCCAATGACCGAAATGATTCGCCGGTAGCCATATATCTATAAAATATAATTATTTAAGGATTTATTTTCAACGAAATAATTATTTCTAGTTATTTATAATTTCTAAGGAGTTCGCACTTTCCACGTATCGACCTGACAAAATTTAATTTAATTTAATTATCCACTTGTTGCTAGCATTTGGAATTTCGTAATAATTATTTCTAGTTGTTTATAATTTCTAAGGAGTTCGCACTTTCCACGTATCGACCTGATAAAATTTAATTTATTTTAATTACCCACTTGCTGCTAGAATTTGGAATTTCGTGGTACGATTGTGACTATATAGCACAGACCATTGACATAGAGCAATAACTAATAAGTAATAACCATACACCTATTGGTAAAACAAGATAACGGTACGCGCTCTGGTGACAAAATCGTCAACTCGCCGATTCGGGATAGATATTGTGTTTACATTGCAATTTCCATTGAAAAGGTGGTCGTTACTCGTTTTAAATTTTGTTCTATGAATAATTAAGCTTATTAAAATATTAAATTATAAACTTAATTGTGTTTCTTTAGAAACAAAATCCTAACCTTCGATCTTTAAGTAAGTACCTACTTATTCATAATAATATTAATTCTTATTTAAAGTAAACTGTTGGTATCGATTAATAATAAAATGCATATTTATTATTTACAGAAATGACTACAGAAAGTACTAAGAAAAAAAGCAATAATTATTGTTCCGTATTTGGATGCTGCTCTTTCTATTCAACTAATGAAGATATTAGTTTTCATTGTTTACCGAAAATCAACGACCCAAAAGTGTTGTTAAAAAACAAATGGGGACAAGAAGAACTAGTTGACCGCCGCAGAATGTGGGCTATTTTATTACGATTTTCGAAAGAAGCATTATTGAAAAAACATATTTCAGTTTGTTCAAAACATTTTACCTCAGAGGACTTCTTACCTCCAGGTAAATAACACGTGGCTACTATTTATTTTTATGGTGTTTGAATAAATAAATAATTATTTTTAATATTTTATTTGTAAGTTGATGAATAATCTACCTAATGGAATGATGAATATTTTATACTACTTAGGCAGTTGGACATCGTATGGCTTAGGCACATTTTTAATAATAATTTTCAAATATTTGTGTTATACGCTAGTTGCCTATGTGAAATATTGAAGTTAACTGTACTCATACTATCTGTTACTTATTATACATACTTTTAATAAGTAGTACTATTTTCCTTTCAGTGTTAAATTAGTATGAAATATAGAAATATAGTTGGAACAACTTTATCCACTTGCAGTTTATATTATTATTGGTAATAATTATTATATGTATAGAAAATAATTTACTTTTTTAGGACAAAATAACAAACGTAAACGTCTTAAACCCATAGCAATTCCATCGCAAAATTTGCCCAAGTCAACTGTATTGCTTCATTCACCCAAAAAAAGATCATATCCTAAAAACAAATGTACATCTAGAAACCAACTAAAATCAGAGGAATCAGATTGTGAAGTGAGTAAATTTTTATCATTGATACTGCTTTTCATTTGAATAATGACAAATATAATATAATTATTTTACATTTTAGTTGCATGTGCCGAATTCAGATGGGGATGAAATCTGTTTGGACTTTGTTGGGCCAACAATGCAAGAATATTCTAATGAAAAAGATGATGTTGATACTTTGGAGTGTAATGTACAAGATAACATAACTGCTAATAAGATATTTAGAGAACTTAAAAGTGTAGGAACACAAGTAGCAATTGGAAATATAAAAACTTCATTTCTATCATTCATTGATACAGTGAAAAAACTGAACACCATGACTGGCATTTGTTCTTTCGAAATTTTAAATGAGATAATAGGCTTACATAAGACACATTTTCCAGATAAAAGACAACATACATTATGTCTTAAAGAACGCATTGTTATGGTATTTGTGAAATTCAAGCAAGGTTTATCTTTTGCAATTTTGAGTATTTTATTCAATGATTTTTCTGCAGAAAGTTGTAGACTAACTTATAATTCTTTGATTCCTCAACTGGCATATATATTTAAATCATTGATCTATTGGCCTTCTAGGCAAGAAATTTTAAGTAATACACCCTATTGTTTTGAACAGTTTACTGATGTACGGGTTGTATTAGACTGTACAGAAATATCAGTACAAAGACCCAAATGTTTGACTTGCCGTATAAAGTGCTATAGTAACTACAAATCTACTTTTACATTAAAATTTTTGATAGGAATTTCTCCAGGTGGTCTTATAACATATATCAGTAAGCCATATGGTGGTAGGGCTTCTGATAAAGCCATATTTGAGCAAAGTAATCTTATTGAATTAATGCAAAAGCCTGATGCTGTTATGGTTGACAAAGGTTTTTTGATTGATGATATTTGTAAAAAAAAAAATATAACTCTAATAAGACCACCTTTCCTTAAAAATCAAAGGCAATTTTCTAAGGAAGATGCTTTGTTGTCTAAAAATATTGCTAAAGCTAGAGTTCACATTGAAAGAATTAATCAGCGAATAAAAACTTTTAATATCTTTTGTCATACCTTTCCATGGGCTCATGTACATTTAGCTTCAGACATAATGACAATAATAGGTGGTTTATGCAATTTAAGCCAACCAATATTTTCATAAGACAAATTTATTTCCTAAACAATTTGATATAATATAATATTTATATTTTAATATAATTTGTATAATTTAATATTTATATTTTAATATAATTTGTATAATTTAATATAATATGTATAACTCAACATGTATAATTTAATATAATATGTAATAATTAAAATGTTAGCTAATATATATTGTTAATTATGCATACTTCGTGTATTAATCTTTCAAAATAAATGACTTTTAAACTACAAAACAATTTTTTACAATAATCTTCATCATATTTTACTTTTAACACAGCATTTTTATTTTCATAGCTACTGTGTACTATGAAGTCACATTCCATAACATTTAATAAAACAATGCCCATTTGTACTTGTGCATAATAACAATGGTTTTTTTTTAAACTCAATGAACCATCTGGGTGTTTTACAATCCATTTTAAACTATTTAAAAGATCTCTTGTACCAAGTTTCTTACCATCAAAAGGACAATTGATTTCTATAATTTTGATGGGTACAAAATATTCATCAATGATGACTCCATCTGGAGTATAACCTAACCAAGGATTGTTAACATTAATCACTAAGCCACACTCTAAAATACTTGTATTAAATTCTTTTGAATACAAATCTCTGGCGATGTTTTCATATTGTAAACCATATTTAACAAACTTATTTGTGAATAGTTTTGGCCAAAAATATCTTGTGGCTTTCAAAGACCATTGTTCATCTGTTTTGAAAGTTTTATTAAAGGTATACAGCCCATAGCATCGACTTCCTGTAATTCTGTACTGCCGACAATGGTCCCAAAAAGATTTGTCTTTTTGAGATCGATATAATACTTCATAAAAATCAGTTGACAATTTAGTAAATGATACCTTGCAACAATCACCCATATTCATGACTGAGTAGTCTCGCAAATACACTAACAAAGGATGAGATGACACATTCAGTTTGGACAACTGTGTGTTTGCTGCCAATATCACTGATGATTGGTTAGTTGGAAAATGACGACCCAAGGAATGAAGAGCAATTGCTGAAGTTGGTGCAGCAGCTAAGAACCTTGACCTAAAATTGGCTTTTGTAGTAATTATTAATTTATAAATCAAAATAAACATACCTACCTAATTGTATCTATTACATCAGCGTCAACAGAATTTGAATCAACAACATTTTTCTTATAACAGTCAAAGCTATCAATTGGTAAAGGTTTATAATGTGTTAAGGTAGGTTCCTTTAATTTTGACCACTGACATGTTATGTCAGTTGATGACAAGTTGTCCAAATTAGCAACTGAATTTCTGAAAATTAACAATAGTAGGTAAATGATAACTTCATGTAATATTTAATGTTTTATTGAATCCCGTTTAAAGAAAAAATATTTCAAAACACTTACTTTCAATCATTGTCAAAATAATTGAATTTTTGCCATTTGAAAGTAAGTTTTTTGTTTAAGAAAATTGAATTATTTCTTCTAAATTCCAATGCTTGTTTAAAATTTTGAATAAAAAGAATTACCTGTTAAGAAACAAAAGTATTGCAACAACGTGCTTACAACACTCAGAAGCTCCTGCTTTGCAACTGCATTTGAATTTAATAATTTCCATTTCAGGCTTTGTTAATTCACCGAAAACTGAATGGGGCATATCATTTAAATGTGATGTTTGAACAATTAATGCTCTAATTTGTATCACACTATCCTAAAAATAGAAATATTTCTATAGTACATAATATTATTTAGTATTTACATCAAGTTTGAAATTACATTGACATAGCTAAAGTCATATTTACCATTTCAATTTTACCGCACAATATAATCTGTTTACTTTTTAAGATTTGTTCTCCTTCTATTGCACTACGAGAATTTAAAGTGCAATTTGCATAAGTAAATATTCTTAATAGTGACAAAGACATGTTTAAGCATTATTATTAAACAGTGTACTATTTTATATAAAATACTTAAATAAAGTACTTACACTTACTACAGTTGAAGATTTAAAATAGGTAATAGCCCGGGAAATACGTCCCGACTCGGTGCGGTGCGGTACCCGCCCGACCATTGTACTAACAGCGCGCCCAGTGTTATCTTGTTTTACCAATAAGCTAATGGACAGCGCTTAGAGAAAGAAGGTACGATATAGGTAGAGTGAGCAAGAAAAGAAACTAACAAGTAAAATACTAAAATGTACACAGTTTCTTTGGGGGCTATTTTGATAAGGCGTTTTGGTGTGTTAAATAATTCAATAAACGATTGCAGCAGATTCAAAAACATATTTTTTTTTTTTTTTTTTTATTAGATACAATAAGATGTTCCTAGCCTAGGCTATCTACATCTATTGATATTACAATGGATGGTACATTTTTAACAATTTTAACATGATTATTAATTTATATAAAATTTGAATAGTATGATGAATTTGGTATCTAGTATAATATGTACATTAGTGATAGTTACGCCGAGACGTAATTGACTATAATTAAGTAACAGTGAACTGATATAATAATGTTAACAATAAAAAGGTATAAACAGATATAATATAATACATAACAAGTTATAAAACTTAATATTAGACGCTACGAGTAACAAATAGCTGCTGTATATTGTGTGGAGTATTAAACCAGAAGGTCATGCGGACGTCCACGTTTTAATCTACGTTGAGGCGGATGTATGTGAAGTTGATAGTGAAGTGAGCCAGAGGAGTTGAGCAGTGAGGTATGGAAGTTTTTTGATGCGGTTTTAATGTGGTCTGTGATTTCCTGGATCAGAAGGTCTTTGTGTAAGTTTGCGTTCCTTATAAACCAAGGTGCGTTGGCAATAATACGTAACACTTTATTTTGAAAAATTTGAATTTTATTGATGTGAGTGGACGCGCATTTCCCCCAGACCGGACACGCATAAGTGAGTAGTGGACGTAGAATTTGTTTATATATTAGAAGAGAGCATTTTTTCTGTATTGGCGATTTTTTATTGAGAATAGGGTATAACATAGAGAGGCGCTGATATGCCTGTTGAAGTTTGGATGAGATATGAGGCTGCCATGTTAGCCGTTTATCCAATATCAAGCCGNGAGTGAAAGTGGTGGTAGTGATGGTATTTGGATGCAAAAAGAATGTGGCGGGAGAGGTTAGTGGAGCAGAGAAAAACCGTGAAATATGGCCGTGCACGGTTTATTGGATTGACCGGAATGAGAGAGACGCGGGGTCATCCATCACCCGGAACGGGATCCTCCGTTGCCCGCTCTCTCTATATATGTATATGTATATATATATACAGAGCATGAAGAGGGGTGAAAAATATTAAACTCGTGGAAATATAATATAAAAACATGGAGCCGCGGACGACAGGGGTAGTGAGAGATAGAGAGAGAGAGGGAGAGAAATTTGAGAGAAAAGTTTGACTTTCATTAAAAATCTCCAACAGACGTATGTGATATAATATATAAATATATACTCATGTATGTTTGGGTGAAATTATAAACTATACTATTCATTTGTATATAGGTGTGTATACCCCATGCTTGACAATTATCGTGACTAGAAAAATACATTATTATAGTTACGACTGTGGAAGGTCACAGAAACGTTCACGTGTCGAGGGATATATTTTAAGAGTAAAGAATTAAGGTCTAGCGTCGAAAGATCTTTCATCGATACTCCACTGCCACTAATTTCTATTGTGAAACGAATTTCATATTTTCAGTCTTCGGCATCAATGTAATTCCTTTTTTAAGATTCATCTTCGGCACCGTTACACTTCCTGCCTGAGGCTTTTAAGCGCCAAGTGAAATTTTCATTTTGACATGGGGAGTCACATCAAATATTCGTCATCGTAATTCAATTGCGGTGCACGGGACATATTATAATATATATACAGCAGATACGTAGGGAATCTCTATTATATAGAGATACGAAGCGTGTAGGTGAGATGAATGGAGAAAGTGTGTCGGAGGGAGAGCGGAAGAGTGAGTGGTTGAGATACGGAAAAAGAGACGGAGTGGGTCGCATAGTATTAGCATCGAAGGGGATCACATTCGTCGCATAATGGTGTTTTTCGTCCCGCACGACTTTTATGGTTTATTTAAATTTTCCACTTCACCCTAAACTACAGTTTTATTTTTTTTGCATTCTTATTTTACATAAAATAGAAAATAAACAAAGTTTGTTTTAAAAATCACTTTGATGAACGCACATTAAAACGCAAACAGTACAGGGGTCCCCTGTTGTCGCAGCTAGTATACGCAATTTTTACGACCGCCGCAACGCAAACATCGATTACCAAAAACGCGGGGTTCGAGACTTGTGAGTACAGTACTTTTTTTTCAGTAGAACCATACTATGATTCTAACACATGCAAAATAATATGACATTATAATGCGTCACATCAATTTTGTGCCCATCCGAAATCATATAGAATGCATCGATTTGGATTAAAAAGTGTAGATGTCATAGTTTTATTAATTCATTAAGTATTAAGATAATATTAGAAACAAAAATAATTATGAAAAATATGTAATTATTTCAAGAAATAAAACAAAAAAATTATAATGCTTAAATCTTTAATTACACTAGCATTATTGTGACACCAAAGTTCAAAAACTGTAATTTCTGGATCATACATTTTCTTTGTTTTCTCTGAATACAATTTGTTTAGAAACGTTTGATTCGTAATTCGTTATCACGTCAATACAGAGATCAGCAAAAGGTTTTAAATATTTTTAATTCCTCTCTTTCGTAAGCTACCTTTTAAAATTGATAGTGTAATTTATTATGTAGATGAATATGAGACCATACTACAATATGTGTATGATATGATTTACTACGGATGATATTCGTGTTAGGTAATATTGCTTATTCATTTATAATGCTACTTTTTATTTTTAATTATGTTTTTTATTACCATTATTCTTGACACTTATTATTAATGGCCACGTTATACTTAGTAGTGAACAGTTTATATTTGTTGTGCCAATTTTCAATTTTCATTGTAATCATTACTGAACAATGATTTTTAGCGATTATAACCAAATATCATATATCACATAAAACTAAAATAAATTGAACATCCAAAATAATTCATATTAACATTATTCTAATAGGAGTGAGTTTACTTTTTCAAACTGTCATGTCGTGAAAAAAAATAGTGTTTACTTAGAATAGCCATTACGACTGACGCGGAGGGGGTCTAGCAGAATTTTAATCGTGTGTTGTATTTGTTAAAAGGGTTGTAAAATATCTATAGGCATTTAATTTTCTGTACATTTGAGACGATTGAAAATTAAAATCAGCCAATTGTTGGCCATTGGCATACGTGGTGGGGCTATAACGATTGGCTATAACGATTTGGCTTAATGTAATTAATGTCGATCTACAATGTATTATAAATGTTAAAGAATTAAAAGTGAAAAAAAAAACGAATAAAATCTTTTATCGAAGACTCAATTGTCGATAGTTCAATAAAAAACGTGACACTTTACTTTTGTGAACTGATGACGATTGACAAGAAAGAGACCTTCTGAAAGGAAATGAAAAATAAACTTTACGTTTCCTAATGACGCATTTCTGAGTGTCAAGCATAATGATTCGAAATGTACAAACGTTTATCGGATTTATTTTTTTTTCAATCAGAATAATTTAATAATAAGGTATAAAGAATATACTTGGACTTTTATGCATATAAAGTTATTATAATTTATTTTTTGATAAGCATCATTATTTATGTCCTTGGTATAATATCTTTCTTTGTTATCGATTGATTCGAAAGTCATGTATTTAATATTAGTTTAATATTTGAAACTAATTGTATAATAATATGTATTAAATGTACAAATAGTATTATGTCCACAAATAATGCAAAAGTCACCCTTAATTTTTCTTAAGAAAATTCATACTTTATAGTTAGTTTTTTCCGGTGGCGTTGAGTTATGGTTAAAAATATATTTACTTTTTATAATACAATAATTTATTTAAATATTTATTGTTAATTGTTATAGGTAAACAAATTACGTGGCTAGGTCACTTGAGTTGGAACTAGTGGAAAGTTGCTTGGACTTGAACATTCTACTGGTACGTAGTAAAATAATTGCAGTTCACGTTTGAGATAAAAAATACAGTGCTCATTATACGCTTGTATGTGATTTTTTTCCTCTATAAAACGGAGGTAAGAAATGTATTATTGAAACTTATGAAAAATGTAACATCATAATTATAGGTTAATACAACTACTATGCGAACACATCATTTTTAAAGACGACCGTGATGTATCAAGTTTGCCTATCTAAGCTGCCGTGTTATTAAGGTTTTAATATTAAGAAGCATTAATCGAAACTAAACATGGGAAAATAAACCTTTAAATTAAAAACTATGGTATTATGTATGATAAAAAAAAATTATGTAAAAACTCACCTGAATAAACAATTATTGTTTAACTCGATGTTAAAATTCAGTACAATTCAACAACACCATACCAGAAATCTGAAACAAATAATAATGGCTTATAAAAAATAGGTAAAAGTTATTTCATACATACAGGTAAAATGTATTAATATATAATATTATGGAATACCAAAAACGGTAGTTCGCGAAGGCAACGCTGACGGTGAATTCAACAAATAAAATATGTTTGACGCCAGTGGTTTGTTAGAATTTTTGAAATTCGCGTACGATTTTTCATGAAAGCCAGGCAGAAAAAAAGAAAAGTAAATAAAAAATACGACCAAAGGAAAAGACGGATAAAAACGATTATGCCTATTGTGAGACTTGAGTGTACACAATACGGTCAAGAAGTTTACCGCATTTCCAGCTCAATGGCATTTGGTCTTTTTATTCATCCACATTGTGAAGTTTTGATACGACAACGTCGTGACGGATCGAAATTTGTATTTAACGATTTTCTTTTCTTAGATTAATGCTAAAAATGCGTATACCTGCGTGTTTTTTTATTGTGTGTTTTAAACTATTGAATGTCCAAAAAACCCATTGTAGCTTTTACAATTTAAAGATATAAATGGGAAGCTTGTAGAAAAGAAACATAAAAAAAAAAACATTATCTAGTATTGAATACTATAATATAATTTATAGTATTAAATTAATAATCACAGTTTATGTAAATTGAACAGTATACATATTCAAATACATATATATATATATATATAATTGTATTGTGTGATTTCGTCAGATAAATGAATCATTGAATAATTTTAATTTCCATTATTTCTTTCACCAGTCATACCATAATATAACGACAATATTGGTATCGATTGGTTGATTTCCGAGCAACAATGTAACCACATAATATTATAATACAGAGACGTTAACACCTAATCAACAGAAATCTTATCCCAAAGGATTCTACACACGATGCAATGCGTGTAAAGTTAATTTTATTTATAATGTGCGCTCAATATACTACGCATATTTCCCTGGTGGCCGCTACAAACGACGTGATACTTATAAAAAAAAATGTAAAAGAAAAAAAATGATAACCATTACCTTATCACGATAGAGACGAGAGTGTTTTAAGATGATTAAATTTTACGTATCTCGACGACAATAAATTATAATACAACAAATGGACAATATACAAGGGACAATATAATTAATTTAGAAATGTTTACCAGCATAAAAATACGCACACGCAATTGGGAATTGCATTTACAAAGAACGTGCAGTCGTATTTCATGCTCATGAGGGATTTGTGTTTTTTAACCAATCATAACGAAATAAAAGTTTCAGCGACCTAACAAGTTGAGAAAAAAAGTATTATAATAATATTCAGAGAATTAAGTTAAAAGCGTGTTACTTTTTCAACGAAAACATCCATTTAGCTTACATTATTTATGCAGATAATTTATTCAGCTGTTCAAATAAGTTTGTAAAGTTTTAACAACTCGATGTAAAAATAAAAAGAGGAAATAAAAGAAAATCACGCTACGCAGACCTTAAAAGGGTTTTACTAACCTAACCTTTGGCTGCTCACGAAAATATTATAACCTAACCGTATCATTTTTTTTTTATTCATTTTCCAACCAATGGGTATGCAGAATAGTCAGTTCGCGTGGTACATCATCAGCGCCGGTTTGTGTTTTTAAATTTTAATCCATGTTATACTACGGATTGAATAATGCTTTTACGACATTTATTGAATTAACATTATGCAAAGTGTTTCACTGATTGTATGCCATACAGTTGTGCATAATATAATAAATAGGCACCTACGCAGCGCCGACGATTTTACATCTGATGAGTTAAATCGGATATGTTTTTCATTATTATAGGTAGTCATTTATAGAATATCTATCAATTGGATACACGTGGTTATAAAAATTATAACACTTTTATAATTTGTCCTACATAATTATTATTATTTATTTTTCACGAAATACGTCTTTTTGAACCAGCTTTACGAATAGTATATTTGAATGATTTCAGTTGTACAGGAATAAGCAGAACATCGAACCGGTAAAATCTCTTCTTATTTAATTAAAAACAAATAAGTCGCAATAAAAACAACTTTGTGATCGACCTTTTACTAGTAAGTTCGTCACCCTTGCTTCTTATTTTTAAATTGCTTCCACTCTGCAAACTAACTTTTTATAGTAGGTTGCACTTGAATAAATTAATGTTTCAAACACATTTCTGTTTGGCTTTAATTATTTTAGATTCTGAGCAGAGTAATATTGGTTTTACAATGTGTTTTTTTGTAGCTGAAGACACTTTTTGAAACATTAAAATGCTTTAATCTTCAAAGTTAAGGTTTGTTTTTGGTAGAAAATTGTATGTAATTGGTAGTTTGGAGGGGGTGGAGGCAAGGTTAAAAGTAAAAAATCTAATATTTTTCGTAAAAAAAACAAAAATAAATAAATTAATGGGAATATTTATGTAAAACATAGGTACATCAATGAGTTTCAAAATGTTTTATTGTTAAAAATAAAATATAGTAATAAACGCAGATACTTGAAATTTTCATCTGGCATTAATATTATCCTTTTCTAAACATTAAAGTATTTACAAAATAATTACTCTATTATAGACATTTGACATTTTTTTTTATCTATGTAGATATTATGTGTTTTAATTTAAAAACCTTAAACATTTAAAGAGGTTCCGCATAAGTTTTTTTTATAACAGCATCATAAATATATCAAAAATATATAATGTATAGTATTGAACTGTATAAGTTACCTAATACGTATATACGCTATGTTTTTGGCTAAAATTAGTTCAAATTATTCTAATATAGATATTGATGGAAAAACAAATTATACATAAAGCAATATAAATAAATTATAATATATCCTTAGATGATAAAGCTGACACCGTTTCCCTACAGAATCCACCTAAAAACCTTTACCTTTTTCTTGTGCAATGATCTAAATTCAAATTTAACATACATATTATATTGAACTAATCAATGGTGATCTACACATTACACTCAAATACTACTGTAGTACTATAATATACTGCATTCCCTGATTTTAAAGTAGACCAGAAAACTGCACGTAGTTGATATTTACAACTATATAGAAAAATATTGATGACTTGATATTATTGACAACTATTATGGGCAAATAATGTTTTGTATAATAAAACACATACATTTACTACTTCACCATTTATTTTAATTAATACGAGTTATGACTGAATACAAAATTGAACGATCTATACACGATTTCCCTTTTCACTTTGACTTTGGAAATAAACCATTGAATAAAAATATGTAGTGGTGTGTTAACGAGCAATATGTGTTGAATAAACATTAATTATAAATTGTATACGCATGAAGAATAGAAAGTAAAGGGTTTGTACTTAAATAATAATGATAATTTTTTTAACTAAAAAATATATAAATTAACAGAATGAAAAAAACTTTTGCATCCAAACTTTGTGGCATTCGGATTATTTTAATTATCATTATTTAATGAGAAAAAATATAAATATTGTATAATAGGCAGTTTTGTATATTTTTTCAATTTAAGGTTTTTGGATACATTTTAATTTTTTTTCGTTAAACTCAAACTCACATAAAACCTGTGTTACGGATTCTAATTTTGTGAAGTATCACATCGAAAGTCATCGATAAAAGGCTTTAAATAGCTCGTGTATAAGATAGGATGAGTTGTTAGAAATCTCAGGTGGTCATCAATTTTAAACCTTAATGTTAAGAGTGGCGTAATAGTGATAAACTGTGTCATCCGCACCATGTTAACTTTCAAAAACGTTTATCAAATTTCAGACATTTTCCACCGGACATTTTGAAACTAATATACACGTTTTTATCACATTGACAAAGAGGAAATCCAATATATTTAGAGGCGTTTTGCGAGGTGGTAGATTTGTAGAATTTATTTACGTCGAAATCCATAAAAAATACCATATAAAATATAGTGCTGAGATTACATATTTTAAGGGAGAGTTCCAAGAAAAAAAATGAATAAACCAAAATCAGAGCTTTGATTAATCGACAGGTGAGTCGTTCCCCAAGAAGGGAAGATAAAATTCGAAGAGGGACACCGAGGGTCTCCGCGGTAAGTAATCTGCCCGTTTAAACGGCCCAAAAGTTCATTATCGATTCAAATAAAAATAAAAATAATAAAATTAACACAGAGTCGGCCAAAAATGCATTTTTTAAAAAGAACCTAGTCAGGATGTGGATCAAATGATAAAGGAGCTTATATTCCAGTGGCTTCAACGGTGTAGCTATTAGAGTTTGACTGCAGTGGCGAGAGGAGGAACGGACGGTGGTTTAAAAACGCGGGCGAGGGGGACAAGATAAGCCGAGTCGAGAGAACGAGATAGACGGGAAAACGTATACAGATAGGAATGGAGTTGAATAATAATATTAAAAAGAGAAAAGTATATATAGTAGATGTAGCAAAAAAAAAAAAAAAAAACTGTGCAGTGGGGCCATCCATCATTTCGTGGCCAAACCAGCGAAAACAAAATGATAAACCGAACTCGTGAGGGTTGTGCGAAAAAAAAAATAAAAAATAAATTATATAAAAAAAAATTTCCCCCGTGATATGCAGTCGGAAAATAATTGCAACGCCACGCCACCGGTCGAAACGTTGCAGTTTTACCGGTTCATTAGAGCAGCCGCCCGTCTGCAATCAATGCTCGTTCATTATCTTGTCGAACAATGTGTTTGTGTGTGCGTGCGTGTAGGTGGATGGGTGGGTGTGTGTGTGTTTTTTTACCGACCCCTACTCTGGAATTCGTGACGAGGTAATACGTTAATTTTTTTTTTTACGACAACAATTTCCCGACGCGTTTGCGAACCGTTTTGTTCGTAGCGTAATCACCCGTGTGTGTGTGTGTGTGTGTGTGTTGTTTGTTTACGATACAAATTGCCCGTCTCGTTTCATACACGAAAATCCTTTGTGTGCATGGAGGTAGAAAAAAAAAATTACTAAGCACTGCGTGTGACAAATACACCCATCGACAGAAAGGTTATTCGGAGCGGGCAACACAGTAGA